GAATGTCTGCTGTTGTGTATTCACGTGGAAAAAGAAGGTCCTAGAAGCTTTGAAAACAACCCTCAAAGCTCCATGACAGCACCCAGTAAGGGATGGGGCAAATACACTCTTGAAGTTTGATTCAGAAAGTGTGAATGTMAATTCCCAACTTGCTGGCACCACACTTAGATTCTGGACTGGCAAACTCTTCCCTTTCAGCACATCACACGGACTGGAAATGTTCAGCTCCAAGTGTAAAACCTGTTGTGTTCTTCAACAGTACATTATCCAAAGACGTGCTACATGGGTCTTTTTGTGCAGTTGTCACTAAAATGAAACTTCTACAAAACTCTGCAGACTTTAAAGGACACTGCCCAAAAGGGTGAAGATTTCACCTGGCCTTGAGCTGACACTTCTGACATGAACTATATGGACGGATACAAATATCTCTGTCTGTAACCACAACTTTTCATTCAACATGGGTGTATCTGGARTACACTGATTCATACTCAGTAATGCAGAACTGCAAATTTTAATTTGGGACTTACAGTTGCTTCTCTTATAACAGAATATAAATTTGGAAAATTAAATTTTTGTTTCCACAAAARTTTATTTTGGAAAACAGTTTCAACAGAAAATGTCCTGTTCTTCTGCTCTATTTCAGTATAAGATTGCATATGAAAATACACATTTAAATTGTATACTAAAATGCACGGTATATAACCATGGGAAAGGACAGATAAAAAATACTCAGACAAAAGGAATGTAAGTTAAGCCACACTTTCTTCTGCACAGTTTATAAACAAATATTTTTCCTTAACTGTTATTTTACTATCCATCATCTGAAAAAGATTCTTAACTATTGAAAAATCAATTACAATTAAAAGTGAAAACATTTCTTCATTCCAGTTTTGTTTACTTCTCTAACTCACAGAAGATCAAACTTGCCTTTTTTTCAATACTGACAAATTAATTAGATAGAAATATAATTCTCTACATCTTTTTGGATGACTACTTTTGGATGACAAACCTGAAAGTTTGTCATCCAAATCTTTTCCTTTTCTTAGCTTAAAAGTCTCAGTAACAGGTTAGTCTCATTCTACATAAATACTTCTTTTTTTTTTTTTTTTTTTCAGATTAGTCCCCTCCACTGCACTTAAAACTAAAGATCCAATCTATACTCTTAGAATCAGTGAATAAAAGTAGGCATTGAAAATTGTAGTCCCATTCATTAGTAATATTGTTTATTATAATACTTTTTACTAAATAAACTCTGTGTTTATCCAGTGCTATAAAAGSCCATGCTTTCAACTACATATTTCAAGAAGTTTGGATACACAGCACACCTTGGCAGAATCCATGGAGAGAATTCAAAATTTAAGGAGATGATCATAAATGATCTATTTGAACAGCATTGTTAATTAACTTCAAGCTTTGCACAGCCTCCATGATTCACTACTTTCTGAAGAAATCTATTCCTGSTGCAAACCATTCTCAAAATACAATGGTGCCAGAGTTTCTGAGTTAAGGTTTGTTGGCACCTTAAGTAAGGTTCCCATTTCTCTAAAGTGTAGCAAAATCGAGTTTATCATCCTGTTCCTCACAATTTTCTCTTTTATGAAGAACCCCCACCTGACCTTCAAATATAAAGCATATTGATTGTTTTGAAGCAAGGACAGTGAAATGAARCAACTGGGTGAACCATATTCGGTCATGTCCCTCACCTACTTACATCATGGAATATTATACATCCACAGTATTTCCCATGAACTTTATTTGCTTTATTTCTTCTCTAAAGAAACATTCCAAGTCTCTCATCAGCCTGGTTTACATCTCTTTGTTTAAGGATCAAATCCTGCAAAACATCAGTCTTAAAGTAGATGAGAAAAATAGAATACTTTTCCTTTAATGAAAATACGGAAGACACTAATGCTGGTAATAAATATCTTTRCTACACAGTGTTAGTGCCTTTTAATTTAACTATACAGTATTTAACAAGATATATACAATCATAGATGACTAAAATATGTAATGCCTTTGCTTGAAGAAAAAAGCATACCACTCTTTGACTGAAAGGTTAACTATAGATATTTAAATGACTACTCATTATGCTGCTCTTTTAGTATAATACTTTTACTATATATTATGTGCACCACTTAGGAGAATTTAATTTGTATTGTTTCTTTCATTAAGGGGAAGCTGCCACTAAAACAACCCCTTTTTTTTAAATAGTCATCTTTTTTGAGTTTTATTGTCCCATAATTAACCAGTGTATTCGCTATTCACACAAGAGTGCCAATTCACTGTGATCAGCTCCAAGCAAAGTTCAAGTGAGGGCTAACGATGTCTTAAACTTTTATGGAGGAAAAATATGGCAAAGTTAGTGGCTTTGATCCTGTGATACAATCAGATTGAAGTGAACTTAACCAAAATGCCCTCAGAGATGGAGCTTCAACAACATTACATCCTGCTATGAAAAAAAGGACAACCTAAGGTCACTTACTTTTACCTGGGTGGTTTGGAAAATGGCCTGTTACATACATTGCTAGGATGTGGGATTTCTTTGCTTTTAAAATGTTTGCTTTGACATTGCAATTCCTTATTAGAAATATTTCTCTCTGCTTCRAATGAAATATGAAATGGAAGCAAAACCTCACAACTGTAAGAGTTTGGTAACACAACAACAAGATGAGTTGTTTGATGTGTTCTAAATTCTGGGTGAGCAGCAGCTAGAGATGTATTATAATAAAACAGCYTTCTTGAAGCATGTATCTCTGTAATGGTGAATTTTTATGAGAGAAGAAGTTGGCTCTGTTTAGATGGTATTTTACACCYAAAGTCAAAAAACTGATTTAAAAAAATAGGTCAATCTACGAAGATGGAACTTTCATTAAATCTTACTGAGATCCCTGTAAAGAKGCAATAAACTCTCCAAATAAACCACAGTGCAGCACAGTGACTTTCAATGACTTTTAAATCACAACCACAGGAAAAAAAATATCCCTATAATCTTCTACAGAATATACAGATCAGGGGAGGTAAGCACTACTTTTGGATTTCCAACTTAGATCATATCTGGCGTGACTTTTCGGATTAGTCAAGTACCCACACCGCCAACTGCATCAGCTCACAGACTGCTGCAGATACACTACATGTTAGAAAGCAGGGTAGGTGTGTTTCTTTTGAGAAACTTAAAAATTCTTTGCCAGGTTTGAAAATTCTCTGTGCTAATCTCACACAATAATCCAGTGATAGATTTCAAAGAAGAATGAAATATTTCATGACATTCATTTCCATGGTTTAAGTGATATTAAGATGATCATTAGAGAAGAAAGAGACAGTTAACAGAACTTCAGTCTATATATAGACATTGGTTCTTCCATTTCATCAGAGAATATATTAAATGTCACATTCTGTTGCACAGCCAATTAGAGAGGTAAGCATGGCAAAAAAGAGTTTTCCTGCTGGTTTTGTTACCAGCACAGYGTGGTATCAGAAAAAGAGACAGGGCTACCCAGCCAGGAACAGACTGCAGCAGTGCTAAAATATTTTAGCCTTGAACTAAGATGAAATGCAAATACAAAGCAGTTCATTTTAAAACATGTATAACATTAACTGACATTCTGARGAGTTAATAATTTGATCTCATATTTAAGTAACAGACATCTGCAGAAGGAAGCAAACTATGGATTTTGCCTGCCAGAATAATATGYTGAATTGAGGTATAAGTAAGAAAACTGAAAAAATGAACCAAGTATTTGACGAGATAAAATTTTAAAACCAAAATTTTTTTAATAAGATTAAAAGATAATGTGTAAACGAGTCTTCTTTGTCCCTCAACCTTTTCAAATGACACAACAGCTATTTTAGCCTAATGCCCTGTGTAGATGACACTAGAATGATCACTTATTATAACATATCCATTCTGTTTGAAGGATATTTTAATTAATGAAGCAGAATATAATTCTACTTAATAAATATTATGATCATTAATCAAGAGGAAACTAACATGTTCTTCATCTAGAAGGTAAAGAAAACCAAATTTCTCAAAAAAAGAAAGTTTAAAACACAGGGGGAAAAGGAAAATATAAGAAAACAAGCAAAATTAATCCCACGAGGCATCAGCATGTTTTCTTATAAAATGTCTCCGTACAGTCTCAATAAAATGTATACCTTTTTTTCTCCCTCTATTTTTAGTTTAAGCAAAGAGAAAAAATGTCAATATACTCTTTACAGCAAATCAGATTTCTTTTTTTAAGAGGAGGAAGATGACAAGAWAAAACAAGAGAATCTTATAATAGGAAATCCTAAACTCAGTTTAGAACTGAACTGAATGGAAATTTAGCACTGAAAAGTTTTTCACAGGCAGGGCAAATCTTTTATATTGAACAATGTTAAATCTGGATAGCAGGTAATTACTTTAGAGCTGCATCATACAAAAGTACTTTTATTGCTACTGAGTAGCTAAAATTAATCCTTTTTTTCTCCCAAAACATGTATTTCCATATTTTTCTGTGTTTTCAAAGATAAGTGATGCAGTGATGCAGTTTTGCTGACAAAACAATTGCATTAATGAGCTGTTCTTTTCTTTAAGACAACTGAGGAGACTTTGATAAACCAAGAGCAGCATGTAAGCCTCCCAAAAGTTATTAGAGAAGTTACACAAGAAAAGGTATGAAACAGGGTCTCCTTCCTCCTGACAGCCTGGAGTTTACTACGCAATTCCTTTTTTTCTCATGAGGTTTATATTTCAACCGTTGGCTTGCATACCCTTAGAGCACAAGCAATAGAAATATAGATGTCTGCTTCAAATACCAGAGAAAATCATAAATACTCTTTCTTTTCTCCTCAATTAGTTATCCAAACATTTCATCCAATAATTGTGTTTATGGGATAAAACAGCTGAAGTGACAACTGGATGTATTGCAACCTATCACCTCTCCTGTGTTCCTTGTTGAAAGGATTTAATACAGAATAAAGATCATGAGGCTTTCAACTTGAAAAATCAGTGTTTCTCATACCTTTTGTTTGATGATCATGTCGTTGATGTCATCAAGATCACCTACTTTCACTCTCTGAGATTTTATCTCTCGATCCAGTCGAGAAAGCCAGTCAGTGAGTTCTGCCCATGCCTTATTGAAGTCAGCCAAGGCTGGAACCTCCAAAAGCACAGAAGATGGCATTTCTGGTTTGAAGGTGGTGGTTTCCTTGGTTACCCTGGTTTGTGTATCCACAGCAACAGTTTCACCAGGAGTTACTGAAAGAAAAAAACCACTAAAATTACTGAATAAATGAACTAGAAGAAATGTTTATTTCAGTATTTCAGAATTTATGCTGTAGAAGGGGTAAAACAGAAATAAGCTTATTTCTTGATATTATCTCTACTGAAAAGATGAAGATCMAAATTAAAAGAAAATATTAACTCATTTTCCACATTATGATATCTGCTTAACATCCAGCATTCTCAGCATATTCAAATTCCATCCTTGAAAGATCAGCTGGACCTGGTAACATTAGCAAGGTTCATAGTGTAATAAGAACTCCTCACTAAATGTTGCTGAAGRATTGCTATACATGAGTAATTTCCAAAAATCTAGTAGTGTGGCCATGCCAGAAGACAAATTGAAAAAAATTAGTTGGACTATCAAATATATCACAGCACGACCATGCATCAAGAAACAATTATCCTCCACTGCGTCCAAGTCACACTGCAGTGGTGGAATTCTCAGACCAAAAATCTTCTCACTGTTATCACCAAATGCTGTCCACAGGCTCCATGGCCAATATGGAAGCTGATACAACCAGAAATTMATTTCTGAGTAATTGTTTACCTTTCTGCTTCATAACTTGAAAATATTATGTGGTATTATTTGGATATTTGTAGGTTTTTTTTCCTTCTTTTTTTGAGAAAACAGACATATCTTCTTCTTAGTGTTTTTTTTCCTGATCTATTAGCTATGTGTTTTAAATAATCTGTAAAATATTCATTGTCTGGAATGGGGAAGAACACAACACTGAAGCACAGTTTGTGTTTCTGCAGCAAAAATAATGAGAGGTGCCACCATAGATACCATTGGACAGAGGAGCATGGAACATGAAATTATGCAGAAATTCAACTATTGATTTTTACTATTTACAAAGAAATGGCTATGAACTGTTGGGCTACTTTTGCCCTCCAGTTAATCAAGTAAAAACAATTACTCATATTACAATTACAATATTATTGCAGATGAGGCTATACTAAGTTGCATTTTCTCTTTTTTTTCTCATTTTTTAAAAACACCAACCAAAGAAGAAAAATATTAAAACAGAGAAAACAGAAGAACACATAGCATGGCTTGACTGAGATTCTGTACTATTAGAAAAGAGACTAAATACCTACACTTTAGAATCTCTATCTGAATCAATAGTTGAAACAGCAATGAGTAAAAACCAGGAAGGCTGAAATAAAAGCTTTGTGGAGAGTGTTCTACATTTTCCAGCACTGAACCACCAAATATTAATTTCTAAAGGACAGAGATGGGATTTTTTTCATTTTTCCCAGTCTTCTTACAGGGTAGAGAAAATCCATTTCCTGTGAGGTGACTTGCGTTTAACAAAACCAAACCAAAACACCGAAAGAGTCTAACCCCATGCACAGTAAGTTTTTAATTTTGTTCTGGTTTTTTTTTTTTTTTTTTTCCTTGCTATTACTTTTCAGAGTCTAACAGATTTTACCCCTGCAATTACAGCAAAGTCTGTTTGAAATCTGAAAATCCAGGTAACATGTCAGGTTCAACAATTTGTCCATAAATCCAAGGCCTCTGTGGCTTCAGAGATTCTTAGACAACAGAAAAGTTGCCTAATTCGGCATTCACATAGATTAAACTAAACAGAATTTGTCTAATCTCAGAGGAAATTTCTCTCACCATGAGTATTCAGGTACATTGAAGAACAATTTTCTAAGCTGGGACATCCATCAGTAGCCTTAGGGTATCTGAGAAGACTGCCTGACATCTCYTTGCATCTCATGTATTTTGGCCTGAGTACACAATCACGAGTTCACCAATGATTTGTTTATTTATTTATTTTTCCCCTAGTGGCAACTATTTCAGAAAAGGGTTTCTAGTCTTCTAATGCCTATGGGTTTACTGATCTGGATTTTGGCTTACAGGTTTTTTGTGGTTTGTTTTTTTTTTTTTTTTTTCCTTTTGGCTGGTTTTGGTTTTGTTTGATTATTTTTGTTTTTTCCTTTATGTAGTTTTTTCACATCAAGAAACTTGAAATATTACAAAAGAGATTGTAAGGTACTAGCAGAAGTGCAAGAGACCATTATAATATCCTCTCTAAAAATTTCAAGATCTACCACTGTCTACCATCATCTCCTAAGGGTGGTAATACTCTGTTCCACTTTGACTAACCATTAGAATATTTGAGTTATCAGATTATTTGCAAAAACTGTGTGTTTGCACTGTGTTTCACTTCTGACACTTATCTCCCCTCAGAACAAAAATGCCACTTGAGACAGCACCTATCCCTTATTTCCATTTTTTATGCTTGCATAGATTTGACCGTTCATTTAACAGAAGTGCATGAATGAGCAACTAAAATTAATAGACAATTAAAAATGAATGTTAAGTACACAACAGGTTACAACAGATCTCATTCTGAAACAATTTATCCAGAACTGAACTGACAGATTCTGTGACACAAAGGGGACAGTTCGATGCTTTTGGTTTTGCTGGGGTCATTTTATTATTAGTTTGTTTTTGGGATTTTTTTCCCCTGCAGAACTGGAATAATTTTTTTTCTCAAATATCTGAGTAATAAATTCTATCCTATCATAAAAACAATTAAGGACTTATTCTTTCAGGTTATTTAAGGGTTATAGTGGTTCACTTCTGTGATATGATAAACCACAAAACCTCAAGGACAATTAGAATTTAAGACATTAAACCACACAAATATTAAGTTTTTAACATGACTTCTCATTAGCACTTTCTGCTCTTTAACAAAGAAGTAAACAACACAGAACAACACTAGAAGAAAAATAAAATACAGAATAATAAGTGTGATTTTCAACTTGTTCTTGAACTTTGAAATACACTGGATGAAATTGTTGAGACTACGTTGGTAATTTTGCATCTTGAAAGTTATCTGTAGTGTTAAATTTGAAGAGTGAGAATGACTGGAATGTGTCATGAAATTCATATATTGAATGCAAAACCAACCAAAACAGAATGAAGCCAATTGTAAKGAAAGAATTCCCCCTCCCTCCTCCTTCTTTTTTTCTGCTTGTGTCAGTGTTGTGTTTCAAGAGAGGGTCAAACTGACAACTCAAAACAAATAAAACTCCTAATTTAGGTACTGAACAGGAACAGAACAGACAGGAAGAATGAMAACATTTTCAAAAGCTTCAAAGCCCTTCAAACACCTTCTTTCAAGCTACAGTCTTTAAGCAGAACTGCCAGAACAGGAATTTTCCTAACCACCTTTCTGAATCTTTTAGTGGTGCTTAAGTTGTAATTATGAAAGATAACTGCATCTACCAGATCAAAGCTTTTTGACTAAGAAAAAATAACACAGTAACTGGATGTGGATTTTAATTCAATCTGCATGTCTAACCARGGTTTTTAGTTCCATTGTGAGCAGCACCAGTTAAGGGAGAGACCAGCCTAAAATCCTTCCTGCAAAGAATAATAGCAACATGCACCCACTAAACTTTGCTCCTGTTTTAGCCGCGGAAACTCAGCTGCATTTTACTCACTCTGAGCAGGCAGAGGTAGAATATCTGTACAGATAACATCACTCAGTGAAATTTGTTATTTTAACACAGGAAGTACTGACTTTGGTGGCAGAACAAATGAATATTCCCTCAGTGGGCAAATCAGCATTACACTGGCTGGGACACTGCACACCAGGCAGGTTTGGCTTATTCCATGGGAAATTTCAGTGTCATCTTACCAGCACTTTATCCTTGTGAACTTGGAACAACTAAACTCCACAACAGCACACAAGTTAAGCTATGCCAGCTGCTAAAGTGCATTTTTTCCTTTATTTATTCATTTATTTCTTATACTGTGGCATTGCAACCAGTTTTCTACAGGCTTAGAGCATCCATGATCATATTCCTAAGTTCCAAGTAGACTGCTTGGAGAGAGATCTGGAAAGACAGTTCTGATTTATTTAGACTTGTTCCGGTGCTAAATTAATAGTCTCATCTCTGTCTGTCCTTTAATGTTAAGGAAATAAAGTTGAGAGTACATTGAGTTCTCCCTTTCAGTGCAGCTCCTCCATGCAAGGTGCTCACTGCCAGSAGCACTTTTTCCAAGGGGCTACAGCAACCTGCCAGGTGTTCCGGGTCACAAAGGATTTCCAAAAGCAAAATAAGAGTGGCAAACAGAGCTCTGATTGAATATAATCAATAATATAAATTTATTATCTAAAAAAAAGCCCACTTTTCAAACTTTGAAGTTGGAAAGCAAGTGATTTTTTTTTTTTTTCTGGTGATCTGAACTCAAAATATAAGTCTTCATGTTGATCAAAAATTGCCAACAAAATTCCACCCACAGCTCCAAATGTGGAAAATATGCATCCTTAGARCATTGTATCTCTGAGCTAACATTTTCTTAACATTTTAATCAGCTTTAAAAGACAAAAATCATGTTTCAAAGTGAGTCTTTTTTCTATTTTAATACAACACCAATGTCTGATTTTCTTAGCCTTGAATATTTAGTAAAAACAGTTCCTAGAAAAAGATGACTTGGTAACTGTGTCAGGCATATTTCATACATGGTAATTTTTATGGACTATAAATGGGTAAAAGTTTTATGCTTAATTTCATGAACACTTAGGGAACATTCACATTATGTGTWACTGTCATCAGTTTAAAATACAAGTTAAGTGCCTAGGCTACCTTTACCTCTAGAAGTTCTTTATGATTCCTAACAAGTCATTATGGATTATATATAATTTTAATTATTACAGGCAAAAGAAAAAAAAAAGCTGATAGTTTATAGGATTATTAATAAAAGTTTAGGTCTATATTAGTCTGTGGGATGGAGGGAGTGAAACTAAAGACCCCCTAGAAGTTCAAAAGAAAGAAGAAAGTCAAGGTTAAAAACCTTAGGAGAAAAGAAAAAGATTTAGAAATGAATGTGTACCGCCACATTTGAAAAATAACTACAAAAATTATGGTTTCTAAAATGTCACTATTTCTAGATTAATAAACAGCATCCAAACTTAAATTTTAGTAGGAAGTTCCTCCAAACACAATAG